ATGCTTCAATTGCAACAAGAATGGACACAAGTCCTCGGATTGCAAGGCACCAAAGAGGAAGAAAGATTCTCACGTCAATTTGGTGCAAGGTGGGCAAAAGGATGAAGACATCATCCTAGCGGCTGTGGTGACGGAAGTCAACCTCGTTGGATCCAATTCCAAGGAGTGGTTCGTGGACACCGGTGCAACCCGGCATATTTGCTCAAACCGGGAGTTATTCACTACTTTTGAGCCATCAAATGGTGAGAAAGTGTGGATGGGAAACTCAGCCCATTCCGAGGTGGAAGGCGTGGGCAAGGTGGTCCTGAAGATGACTTCGGGCAAGGAGCTGACTCTAAACCAAGTGCTGTTCGTTCCGGAGATACGCAAAAACCTGATTTCCGGTTCGTTGTTGAACAAGCATGGATTCCGCATGGTTTTTGAGTCGGACAAATTAGTTTTGTCCAAGTCGGGAATGTATGTGGGCAAGGGATATGCATGTGATGGGCTGTTTAAGCTCAATGTAACGACTATTATTAATAATAATAATAAAATCCCTTCTGCTTACTTGCTTGAGTCTTCCAATGTGTGGCATGGTAGACTAGGACATGTTAATTTTAATTCTATACGTAGATTAATTAACATGGAACACATTCCTAAATTCACAATTGATGTGAAGCACAAATGTGATGTTTGTGTCGAGGCAAAACTAACGAAAACGTCTTTCAAATCGGTTGAAAGAAAAACGGAACCACTAGAATTAATTCATTTTAAATCAATACAAACACGTGGCGGTAATAAATATTTTATTACTTTTATCGATGATAGCACTCGCTATAGCTATGTTTATTTGTTGAAAAATAAACATGAAGCAATCGATAAATTCATTCTTTATAAGAATGAAGTGGAAAACCAACTTAATCGACGGATTAAAACGGTTAGAAGTGATCGAGGTGGTGAGTATGAAGCACCAATTGGTGACTTTTGCGCTAGTGTGGGTATAGTACATGAACGTACCGCACCCTATTCACCTCAATCAAACGGTGTTGCCGAACGAAAGAATCGCACATTGAAAGATATGATGAATGCGATGCTAGTAAGTTCGGGCCTGCCACAAAATATGTGGGGCGAAGCAATCTTGACAAGCAATTACCTTTTAAATAAGGTTCCCCGGAAAAAATATGATAAAACTCCGTACGAGTTGTGGAAAGGCAGACGGCCTTCCTATCAATATTTAAAAGTGTGGGGGTGTCTGGCTAAGGTGCTTGTACCAACACCTAAGAAAATAAAAATAGGTCCAAAAACGGTGGACTGTATTTTTATTGGATATGCACAAAATAGTAGTGCTTATCGGTTTTTAGTGTACGATTCGAATAATCCGGACGTACATAAAAACACAATAATTGAGTCAAGGAATGCATCATTCTTTGAAGACGTATTTCCATGCAAGTCCAACGATGGACCTAGCACGTCAAAACGAACATTTGACGTAGCTATGGAAAATACTAGTGAGGGATCCGGTGAAGAACCCGAACCCCGACGTAGCAAACGTGCTAGAGTTGAAAAATCCTTCGGACCGGATTTTCTCACATACTTAATAGAATTCGATTCGAATATTCTAACTTGTATGGTAGAAAATGAACCGGATTTTCTAACATGTTTGGTAGAAAATGAGCCACGGACTTATACGGAAGCCGTAACGTCTACCGAAGGACCAATGTGGAAAGAAGCCATCAAAAGTGAGGTGGATTCTATACTAAAAAATCACACATGGGAATTGGTTGATCTCCCTCCGGGATGTAAACCTTTGGGATCCAAGTGGATTTTTAAACGTAAAATGAAACCGGACGGTTCCATTGATAAGTATAAGGCCAGACTTGTAATAAAGGGATACAAGCAACGTGAAGGCCATGATTACTTTGACACGTATTCTCCTGTGACGAGAATAAACTCCATTAGGATGATACTAGCAATTGCCGCTTTGCGGAATTTGGAAGTTCATCAAATGGACGTAAAAACCGCTTTTCTAAATGGCGATATAGACGAAGAAATCTATATGGAACAACCTGAGGGTTTTCGTGTTCAAGGCCAAGAGAAGAAGGTTTGTAAATTAATTAAATCATTGTACGGATTGAAACAAGCCCCTAAACAGTGGCACGAAAAGTTCGATCATGCAATGTTAATTAATGGGTTTAAGATAAACGAAAGTGACAAATGCGTCTATGTGAAAAGCACGGTAGACGGCTATGTCATTTTATGTTTATACGTGGATGATATACTCATCGTGGGTAGCAATAATCTAATGATTAATTCTACCAAAAGCATGTTAAATTCTAAATTTGACATGAAGGATATGGGGCTGGCCGATTTAATCCTTGGGATTAAAATAATTAGAGGACCTGAGGGTCTGACGCTAAGCCAATCCCATTACGTTGATAAAATCCTTACTAAATTTAATAAGGATGATTATCAAGAGGCAAGGACGCCATTAGATAAAAACGTACACCTGACCAAAAATCGTGGAGAGTGTATTTCTCAAGTAGAATACGCTAGGATTATTGGCAGTTTAATGTATCTAATGAGTTGTACCAGGCCTGACATTGCCTTTGTGGTTAGTAAGCTAAGTAGATATACTAGCAACCCCGGTGATGAACACTGGAAGGCAATAGTAAGAGTTTTGAGGTATTTACGAAAAACCCAAAACCAAGGACTGCACTATGGAAGATATCCAGCTGTACTTGAAGGGTATAGCGACGCTAGTTGGATATCTGACATTAAGGACTCAAAGTCCACGAGTGGATATATTTTCACTTTGGCGGGTGCAGCCGTTTCATGGAAGTCCTCGAAACAAACGTTAATAGCTAGATCCACGATGGAATCTGAGCTAATAGCCTTGGATAAGTGCACTGAAGAGGCGGAATGGCTACGCCATTTTCTCGAGGATATTCCAAGTTGGGAGAAGCCTGTCCCTCCAATATGTATACATTGCGATTGTCAAGCGGCAATTGGAAGGGCACAGAGCAATCTCTATAATGGTAAGTCTAGACACGTCCGTCGTAGGCATAACACCATTAAACAACTTCTCACAACGGGTGTTATCACTATTGACTACGTGAAGTCAAAGGATAACATAGCGGATCCGCTAACCAAGGCATTGGATAGAGAATTGTTGGAGAAGTTGTCACGAGGAATGGGACTAAAGCCCGTGAGTTGAAAAGTTCTATAGTGGATACCCAACCTAGTTGGTCCTAGGTTCAAATGGGACAACTAAATTATAGAGCGAAGGATGGTCACTGTGGGGGTCCCGGACTCCTAGCCACTCCTCGTTGAAACAGTGACTCCCGCACGAGGTTAGCAAAAACGTTTGCTTTAATGATTCTAAAATGTTGATCTACTCGATAACATTGGAAGAGTATGCGGGATACTCGTGAAAGAATCACCTATGTGAGAGAGAAGAGGGCCGCTTCAAAGGAGAACTGTAAAGGCTCAGTTCTTTAGAAACTCTTGCAGAACCAGGACGGTGACCCATGGCCAAAATGGGCACACCCATGAGAACGGAACAAAGTTGGAAGGTTCTTGTGTAAAGATAAGTCAATGTTTACACGACGGCAGTATAGTTCAAAGACATCGAGTCTACTAGACAGCCAGTAAATAAACGTGTCTTTACAGCGGAAGGTTCAAAGGATTAAACCTACCTCTCCGCATGCAAGGATCATCCGGTGAACACAACGTGTCCTCCTATCTTCGTGTCATTTTTAAGTCTCGTAAATCAATTTTCATTCATGTGGGGGATTGTTGGAAAATGTGTTAGTAAATTGCATTATATGGTCATTTTGGGGCAATTTTTTGAGTGGGGTCCACTTCCGATTCGGGTCGGGTCAAAGTGGTTTCGGATTGTCCTTGTTAAGGGCTACAATTCGATACGTGGTACACTCAAAACGGATAACGGGTGAATGAAATATCGATTTTCGGAGTTTGCCCGTTGAAATGGGGTAGCAGCCGGCTGCTCTAGCAGCCCACTGCCGGCAGGATAGTCGGCAGCAGCCTGCTGCCGGCAGGACAGTCCGTAGCAGCCTGCTGCTGAGACGTCTGCCGCAGCCCACTGCTGGGACGTTACAACTCCATAAATGCCCAACGTTCCTTTGCAATAAATGGACGGTTTTTTGGACTAGAATCAATGCCAACGTGCTGGACATTGATTACCAACGTTCATATCCATTAAACCTCCATTAAACACACAACAAATCTTCCCTATAAATGGCTGCAGGTGGTTTGCAACAATACACAACACACAATACGAACTTCACGTGTTTTCTAGCTCAAATACACCTCCAGCATCCCGAAAATTCCCTTTGTATTCAGCTTTTGTTCTCGTTCGTTGGAACTCTTGTTTGTGTGCTCAAACATTAGTTCGTTGTCATCGTATCCTGGGAAACTATTGTTGCAACGCTCCTAGCACCGTGGGAGGCAACAAATACGTTTTAAGGACATCGTGCGTAGCACGAGCTTTGACAAATTTCTGCTCCATCTCATTTCTGTTTTCTTTTGTCATTTTATTAATTAATTTATTTTAATTAATTTTCTTTGTTTTTCGAAACACACCCAACAACTGACTTATGAGTGCCAAACATAGCTATAGTTGGGATTATTAAATCCAGTTTTTCCAAAACTTAATTAGAGTTTTTGAGAATGAAGACTCATTCAGAGCATAAAACAATTAGGTTATGCAATGTATGGCCACACAATTAATTACTCAAATACTTCGTATATAGCAGAAATGTTAATTTAAATACAAATAATAGTAATAAAGGTCATCATTAAATTTATCTTTAAGAGCTTCTTTAGTACGATAGTATTTAATTAAGACCAAAACGTAACTTTAGGTGAGTTAGAACTTGGAAATTAACCAGTAACAAAAAGCTTCATGCAATGTACACATTAAATAAGGATGTACGTACATGCATGTGTTTATCTACTTATCTACATGCAAGTATATATAAACCTCGAGAGTCATTGTATTTTTCATAATTAAGTTAGAAAACTAGACAAATTAAAGAAAGATGAGCTTCACATGGCCAGGCAACGCCGCCGCCTTCTCCATTTTCATGTCCCTCACATTGGTTACTTCCTCAATGCCCCACAACGGCGATTCCCACCTAACCAGCGGTCCAGCGGCTAGCCCTGCGGCGGCGGCGGGCGGTAGACACAAAAGCCAATTACAGCAGTGGTACACTGACTCTCTGCCCAAAAACGTGACGGAGTTTCTGGACAACTGCACCGACCACATGGCGCTGGAATGTGCGGAGGAGGTAATCGATGCGATACTGTGGATGGGCTCCATTTCCGACGCCTGTTGCACCGACCTGGTCAGCATGGGCATCGAGTGCCAGACTTCATTGGTCAAACTCTTTGTCAACTCGCCTCTTCAGAAGGTCAACGCCCCCGCTGTTATCGCTAATGGTCAACAGATATTCGACAATTGTACCCTGGTTGATAGGAAGCGTCGCTATGGGAACACACAATAAAAAAACGCTACGTCAATATGAATACTAAAGATATTTCCTACAGCGTGATCGAAAGTGTTAGATCCGGGGAGGGAACACCCTATAATGAGGAGGAGTTGAGCATAGTATGTATCATCTTTTACTTTTTAAGCCAATGATGTAAGCTTCAGACATTTATGTATGTTATAAATTTTATAACTCTATGACGGTTTTTTTAACAAAGACCATTGTTACTACTATATATACTACGTACATTATACTACCCCGTCCCTTAAAATTTTGCTAAAGTTGACCGACACAGAGAATAATAAAGTAAAAATTGTGTGGTTGAGGTTTGTGCAGAGGAGAGAGAAATAACAGAAACCACAAAATATTGATTAAAAGAGAAAGTTGCAAAGTTTTTTGGAACGTCCCAAAAAGGAAAGATGACAAAGTTTTAAGGGACAGAGGGAGTAAAATATAAATGGTCAAATGAGGTCTTCTACTATTATGAAATCGTCACATAAGATCATGTACTCAAAAAAGTGTCATATAAATACGTCTACTTATGAAAATCAATCAGATGAGTCCTAACGACCTATTGACAACCTCGGAATCCTAGTTTTAGTGTATGTTTAGCTATCTTTTTAAAATAGATTATAAGAAGCTGTTCCGTTCGTCTTAATCTTATTACTTATTCCTTAATCTTATTTTATTCAGATCAGATCAGATCAGATCAGAAAGATTCAGATCAGATCAGAAAGATTCAGATCAGATCAGCAACATTCAGATCAGATCAGAAAGATTCAGACCAGATAATATAATATAATATAATATAATATAATATAATATAATATAATATAATATAATATAATATAATATAATATAATATAATATAATATAATATAATATAATATAATATAATATAATATAATATAATATAATATAATGTAATGTAATGTAATGTAATGTAATGTAATGTAATGTAATGTAATGTAATGTAATGTAATGTAATGTAATGTAATGTAATGTAATGTAATGTAATGTAATGTAATATAATATAATATAATATAATATAATGTAATGTAATGTAATGTAATGTAATGTAATGTAATGTAATGTAATGTAATGTAATGTAATGTAATGTAATGTAATGTAATGTAATGTAATATAATGTAATATAATATAATATAATATAATATAATATAATATAATATAATATAATATAATATAATATAATATAATATAATATAATATAATATAATATAATATAATATAATATAATATATTTATAATTATAATTATAATTATGATTTACAATGTCATTATAATTATAATCATCATTATTATTAATAAGATTGTTGTTCTTGTTGTTATTTTTGTAATTATTATTACTTCGGAGTAATTATATATTTAAATTAGTAATTATAGATATAATTATGATTATAGAGATAAATATTATAATTATAATTACAAAAAAAATAATTATAAAATTAATCATAATTAAAAATATAATTACATTTATAATTGTATCTGTATTTATAATTAGTGTAATTGGTATAATTATTATAATTTTAAATTTAATTTTAATTTTTTTTTTTTATAATTATGATTATAATTGTAATTTTATTTAAGTTATATTTTTAATTACAATTATAAATCTAATAATTATAATTATAATTACAATTATAGAAATATTCAAATCAGATCAGAAAGATTCAGATCAAAAGAATTCAGATCAGATCAGAAACATTCAGATCAGATCAGATCAGATCAGCAACATTCAGATCAGTTCAGCAACGTTCAGATCAGATCAGAAAGATTCAGATCAGATCAGAAAGATTCAGATCAGATCAGAAAAATTCAGATCAGATCAGATCAGATCAGAAAAATTCAGATCAGATCAGATCAGAACTTAAAAAATTCAGATCAGAAACATTCAGATCAGGTGAACGGAACAGCTTCTTAAATGCAAAAATTGGCAAAAACATTCAGATAAGTCTGACGTGAAATATTTGGTAAAAATTGGTTTAAATGCAAGGCAAAAATAACGACATGTAAGCTAAAATCGGGATTTGAAGGTTGTGAATGGCTCGTTTTGACTCATCCGATTGCTTTTTATAAGTAGACGTATGTATATGATACTTCATTGAGTACATGACTTATGTGACGATTTCATAATAATAGAAGACCGCTTTTACCAGAAACACACTGGTGAGAAAAAGAAAAATTATGTACCTGTTGGAAGAAGGGGAGTGTTTGGGGGTGTAGTTTTAAATATGCATCTTCACTGGAAAAATCATGAGACGGTAAAAGTTGTATGCAAGCCTTGCAAGCCAGGGCAAGTTCATGAATATGCTGCTGAACTGGCACGTTTGAGCGGAGGCATTGTTATTGACTGTTTTCTTTTGGACTGTTTTCAGTCGCAGACCAGACCAGACCAGACCAGACTTCCGTAGTTATAAAATACACAGAGACCAGACGTTTATCAGACCAGACCAGACCAGTTCAGACCAGACCAGGCCAGACCAGACTTAAACAGATCAGACCAGACCAAACCGGACCAAACCAGCAAATTTCAGTCGAAAAGAAAACATCCTAAACCGGATGATACAATAATATTTTATCGAGGAAAGAATTATGTCCGACCAGATGTTTTGTCCCCTCCAGACACCCTATCCAAAGCAAAGGTAATGCTCGGTTGTCGTCTCATTTTCCAAAAAATTAAACTAATTTTAGAATCTTTTCTAACAATTCAGTTGAACAAACTTCAAATGTCATCGCGTACAGGCACTCGAAAAGTACAAGCTGGGGCAATCACTTGATCACACAAGTCAATTTATTGAGAAATTAGAAGAAGAACTTTGGCAACCAGTGCTCTTTCAAAAGAAGCATGTGAACCGAAGCTCCAATGTTTAACTTGATGATCAACCGAAGCATGTTTAACTATATAGTCAACTTTTATATAGTTGCATTTACGCCTTTAGGAGGCCAGTATAGTCACCCGATTTATCAGCCCAATTATAACATAAATCATGTCTTTAATAAAGTGATGAATAAATTATGTTTCAATCTGGCTCTTGTATATCATAAATGTAAGAGATATTACCCGAAATAGGACTAAAAAGGTTTGAAAATTCCAAAATGGGACTGTCATGTTTTTATTCCCAAAATAGGACTAATTACTGTCATGTTTTGGCAGTACCAGACTTCAAACGTATTTTCCAAACTTGACAATAATTACTCCTATTTTGGGAATAAAAAACATGTCAGTCCTATTTTGGAATTATCAAACTGTTTTAGTCCTATTTCGGGAACTTTCCCTAAATGTAAATGTGTTTTATAGTTCATGTAAATTATACGAAGTACCATCGGTGACGGATCGGATCTAGCAACAAAAAATACAATGTTAAATAATAATATGGTTTAACCAACAGTTTAAAGAATACCATTTGGTTCAATAGCAAAAAAATGCTAAATACCGTTAAACGCAAGAAATAGCATATAAAAACACAACATATAAATTATTGCATCAATTATATACATGTTTTTTGCATTTTGTGATCAAAGTTTTGGTGTTCATCTGAACACACTTGAATAGAGTGGCTCCGCCACTAAGTACCATATAATTATATAAATAGCAACTATATGAGCTTTGTTTATGATCGCATTTACTCCCTCCGTCCCGCAAAGATATTCCCGGTTTGACCTACACACATATTTAGGAAATAAATTTGACTTTACTATTTAGACACTGTTTGGCACTGTTTAGACACTGTTTGGCACTGTTTAGACACTGTTTGATACTGTTTTGCACTGTTTGACACTGTTTTGATGTAGGATAACTTTCCATTTAGGGAAAGGGAACTTCTTTTTGAGACATCCAAAAAAGGAAAGCGAGAACATCTTTGCGGGACGGAGGGAGTATATACTTCTAAGTTGGCTATTATAGAATGGAAGAAGTCCACATATAGGATCAAATCATAGTTTTTTTTTTAAATTAAAACAAAATAGGAACACCTAGTTTAAAATACCTTAAATGAGACTTCTTATTCGTAATTAAATAAAAAATACTCTCATAGGGCTGGAGCATTGCTGCCTCCAGATCGCCAGGCCGCCACATGATATTTTTTCCAGAACTTTTCCGCCGGCTTGCCTGAATTTCACGGTCGTTGCAGGAATCCGCCGCCACCACCACGAATTGAGTCCGTCACCAATAGACTGATCTTGATTATACAAGAGAACTAGGGGGAAATTAATTAGGTTAATTAATCAATTGAATTAGAGGTGAAAATGGAATGATTAGTCTTATTTAAGCAAAATGATCCTACATTTGGAATAAGACTATTTGTCATAATTGGATCAACTTTCTCTTATGGAATTGTAGGTTTATGTTAATTTTAACTTTTTATTTTTAGTATTTTATATTTAGAAAATATAAAAATACTGAGATTCACCATCTAATAATTCGACTTTAAAACTATTTCACTGTTCCAGATTATAATAGGAATTTAGTGAAGAAAAATTCCTTACGTACAAGTTGTACATAGTATCAAAGAAAAAAAAATCATTCCCCATCCTCCTTTTCTCTCCACTCTCTCTTCCTTCTCTCTTTCCTTTATCCAAGCCCCTAACCCCTTCGAATATTCCAAAAAAGGATGACCTTCTTCTCTTCTTCATCCGCCTCTTTCCTTCTCCATCCTCTTTTTCTCTACCTTTTTATATCAAAATTTTTTCATTACTTGAACAGAATCAATTTATTCATCTTATTTAATCTATTTTTATCATTTTTCTTCTTCAAAATACATGTAAATTAATCACACGTACAACTACATCATTATTTTGGATGTATATAGACAATTAAGCTTTTTGTTCACCCAAACAATTAAAATTGATCACACAAACAACTTAGAACACAAACAACTATTGTCTGTGAGCTGCACAACTATTCTATGTGGTAAATATTGTGTGTGCACACATGAAAATAATTGTATGTGCAACAAGCAAATATTGTCTGTGTACACAAACACTGTACACATATAGATTGATTTGCACGCCAGTGTTAGTGTCAAGCGTTTGTCAATGTACTTTTTTACACAAAATTTATGTTGGACACATACAAGCTAGAGTTGTCTGTGTGCACTGAAAACTGTTGTATGTGCTCTCAGGCAACTTCATATCAATTGTCTGTAATCGATATTTTGTGTACAAGTTATGTACAA